ATGAATGAAGTAAGGAAGTCGTACTAGCAGTCTGACGTAATCATGAGCTTGAAAAAAATTACATTTTAATAAAGTTTGGTTCAGTTTATTGTATTTTTAATAATTTCCAAAACATAAACTCTTGTAGATAACAAAATAGTTTTAACTTTTAATGGCAGCGTAAGAGAATCAATGTATAATTTTGCGCCGCGAATGTCGTAAATATATTAAACTAGCTGACCCGGCGAACTTCGTACCGCAATGTTACCATCGTATAAATATTGACAAATATTTATACGATACGATACAATATAATATTTATACAATACTAACGTCACTCAATTTTTTTACCTTTCCGGAACCCCTCCACTAACACTTAAACTTTATGGTATGGTATTAAAGTTCAAATTGAGTTTTAAGTATTATTACGAATCTTTTGTATGGGAATATAGAAAAGTGTTGTTTTTAGACTTTTTCAGGCAATTTTTTAAATTTTTCTCTTCGAAAGAACCATCTTCGTACTTCAAGGAATATTGTAAAAAAAGAATTAGTGAAATCGGTTCAGCTGCTCTCGAGATTAGCGCTTACATTCAGCGATTCATTTTTATATTATAGATAAGTAAAATTTAATAAATTCCAATCCATGAATATAATTAGATTATTGTAGTACAGATTATTTTAACATGTAGTGTCGATGTAAGAATATCCTCTACGCTATGTCCCGTGGGTATCATAGAGGGCGACTGAAACAAGAGATAGGCGGCAGCCTCTTTCCGATAACTACTCAAAATAATAGAAAACCCCAACGTGCCTGCCTAGAGTGTTTGAATGTATGAACTGTATTTTTAATGAAATTTACTAAACATCAATTAAAACTATCTCGAATTAAACTGTGGGACGGTGAAAAAATTCCAAGGTACCGCTAAATGATAAATATAACAAATTAGATACTAGTTTCTATTTACACAGACGTCAGCGAAATATAATTAATCACTTGACGTACTAGCGCAACATATTATAGTTGATAAAGGCTCTATTAAGTTTTGAAATTAGTTTCGTGGCAACGTACTTCCCGAAGTGACGCAGGCCTTCATTGAGTCAAAGCCACGATACACGACCAGCGACCACACAGCTCAGTGGCAGTGTGATCTACTCACGGCGCACACGCGCTATCATGGACCAAAGAACCTATCCCTCGCGCTATAAAACGTAATTTTTGCGACGCCGGTAAAATTCTAACCTCAAATATAGAGAGTATGGACACGACGTCAAAGGTGCATCAACTACGTCCCAGCTGACGTTATATCCAACGTGTGAGTGCGGATTTTATTTGTATTGTGACATTCGAAATGGATACAATTTGGCATTTGCATGTGAGTTGAATCGCTGAAGTTAGGTAATACACAGTATGTGTATACATTAATTTAAGATAGTACAATGATAAACTACCTTTTATGTTGGCAGTATTATCAAAACATTATTTTCTTCTTTTTTTACGTATTTTCTAATTATTATTTTTTTCAGAAGATGATGCATTTACTGCGTTAAATATTTAATTATTTTGTTCTATATATATATATATATATATATCTTGTAATAGCAATATATAATATCTTTTAATTATTTTTGTTCATTTAAAACTAGCGTTTCGCGATTTTTATTGTCTAATCTTTTAATACACATATGAATACTGAACACGTTTTTTGTGCCTACCAAGATTTTTTTTGCGCCCAAAGCAAGGGGCTACCCTCCGGGAAGCGGGGGAGGGAGGTGGCGAATGCTCGTAGCATACCACGCAGCCGGCTGCGTGGTTATGTGGAACTCACTATGAAGTGCCTACCCACTAAACACCACCTGTGGGACTGGCTTTGGCCTACATAGCCTTTTGCCGTATGGAAAGCGACCTCCCTTAGGGAAAGGAGGCGCAGGCCTACCAGTTGGTCTAAGTCCCTTATATAGAGAGTAAGGAGGATACAGTACCAAACGAATTGTATCCATACCCCTTCAATACTGCATGTGAATACAGTCTTTGCGTTAACTCAATAGAGTTTTTATTAGTCTGCATCTGTCTAATGGACGACATAAATTACTTCGAGGTACGGTGTACTCAGACTAATGGGCAATTTAAGTTAATCTGTTCGCGACATCTAGTCTAGTTTGTAATAAGTCTCATGTAGTTATTGTTGAATTATGCAAAAAAATCGCCTTAGTGACATTACATATGCTTTGTTTACGAATATTGAATGATATTTTTTCAATACAATAAAGGTGTTCAATGAATTTGATAGTCGATGACTAATAAATATTTATGGTATAAAGGCCGCGCGTTGCTGCCGCAGAAGAAATAATTGTGAAAATATCGTTTTAAATTTGGAAGACTTATATTGCTTGATGAGAAATGATAATACATTCATTGAAATCGAATGATATATAATTTTAAAATAAATTTGTCGGTACTTTATACACACGCCACCTATTGTAAGTATGCCTACCTATATATATATATATATATATATATATATATATATATATATATATATATATATATATATATATATATATGTATATATATATATATAACCTTCGCGCAAGTGCAAGCACTAAGTTGACAAAGTTTTATTGCAGGCTGATGAACGATATGGTAGCGCATAAAATACGAACAAACAAACATTAATTTATTTATTTATTTATTTATATATATATATATATATATATATATATATATATATATATATATACTATAAGATTAATAAGCAAAGGATGAAAAAATAGGACTCTGTTATACTGAAAAACTAAGTAAATTAAAAATTCTAACAGATAGATCTTAGATTTCGTGTGAATGGACTTTGAGGCGCAGTTGGTACACGAAAAAACCCAAGGCTTCTTTGAAATTATAACAGCAGGCTACGGCTGGTCACGCAGTGGCCTTTGGTTTACAACTGATTATATCGAAACAAAATATAGATTCTTATTGTTATCCGTGACAGAATAACGCGATATCAGAACGTTACCGTTACTTAGGCGTTAAAGAATTAATACGCTGACAAGATTAAGTAGACATAGCTCTTATTTAAATGGATTCAATTCAATACAATGCTAGTGTTCAAATTGAGAAATGGAGCCCCGAGCTGAAGGCGTTGCATTTATTTTATCACCGGTATGCATAACTATAAAGGAAAATACCCTCAGAGCAACAGGAGAAATATTGCAAAGGAACCAGCAGGTGCGAGGTTTCATTCCTCAGACAAGTGCTTGTTTTTTCTGAACTTTTAAATATTTCGATGACATAGATGTTATATGACTCCTAAACCTTTCTTTAATCTAGTCTTTTCTTTCGAAATTCCTTTCTAGAAGATCGACAATGCACTGCAGGTGCATTGTCGATATTCTAGAATTCCTCTGATGTTACAGAGGTTCAATGGCCCCCGAAGTCTGTCAATACGCAATGACGCGTAGCAGATACGAGTACTATACTCATTTTATATTCTACTTTGTCTAATATATAATTTAATGTCTAATTTGTCTTAATAATTATTGAAATATTTAATATGAAAATACTACAATTGATTAATAGTAATCTAAGATACAAATATTATCAATTGTGTTTCAATCGTGTAAAACTGTTATTAAAATTTATTCCATTCGTAATATTCTACCTAAACATATCCGCATACTTCACGCATCTTTTGGAATATCCAAATAGATTTATTCATTTATTCATGTGCACGTAACTTATATCAAATAGACTTAGTTAAAAAAAGAATTATAATCTTCTAGTGCAATTTAACATGACCGGACGCTGATTGGTTTTTTTTTTAATGAAATGAACTGACCCTATAGTAATTAGCTACTATTGTCTATGGATACCTGGAGACAACTTCGGACAAAGACTCGCCTTATGATTTATCTTAGTCCTCAGAGGTGACAACGCATTTGTATTTAAGATGGAATACCTCAGAGCCTATAATTGCACTGGCTCTCTATAGCTTCATACCGGAACACAGCGGTATTTGGTGGCAGAAATAGGTAAAGAAGGTATTTTCTAGTAGAAAAGGATTTCTGCCATTGAGTGCTTAAATATTTAAAAAAATAATAACCATGATTTTTTTAATTTATCACATTTATGAACAAAACAATATTTACTACAAAAAAACTAAAGTGTTTAACGAGATGGCTACGTCGCGGTGTTTCGGAAGCGACAGGATCTTTTTGGCATATGTCTTTGACGACATCCATGGGAAGAAATATGGTTATGAATTCTCTTACGCTTGTAGTATAGATATAAGATCTATTACACTTAATACATTATTAAATGGTTTCCGATAACGGTTCAATGCGATACTTCTATTGTTAATATTCCCACAAGCAAAGCCAGAAGCGTCAATTTAATTGCAACTAACAATTACACATTATGTGGGAAGTAAAGTGATTGTTCTGTAGTACAAAAAATGATTAACCACACAAGAAACACACTTGTCCATACTTGATTATCTAAACAGACCGGTCGGACCTGAACTCATTAGATTTTTCTCGTCGGGAAACGCAATGGTTTTTATTCAGTAAAATTGCTGATTTTGCTAAAAGAGTCTCTGTTTGCTTAGTGTAAGTTACGTGATATAGAAAAAAACTTGAAATTTTATTTTTAGATAATATATATAACGTCTCCTAAAAAATATTTATTACTACATACTTCTCGCCATGCTGAGCTCTTAAAAGATTTAATATTAGAACTCTAATCGGAGTCATTAGTCACGCCTTAATTTAGAATTCTTTGACGCTTACATAAATAAACAAGTCTTGAAACTGAAGAGAATGTTATGTTTGAGACATCTGGCTGCACGTCAAATGGTTCACCGTGACGTAAGTTAGCGGCAAAATGTAAACGGGTCTAGTGAAAATATTTTGGCGGGACTTCTATTGCTAGTTGCTTATTCTTTAAACATTGGTTGGAATTGTTTGCTTCCCTACATCAAAATTTACTTAAAGCATTAGTGAATAATGAAATTTTTCTTTGTCCACAGATGCCACAGACAGTACCACGGTCCGGGTGCAGCCCGCCGTCGGCGTCTCAGGACGAGAGAACAGTCCCCACTTCACCAGCGGATCTTCATCATCTCCTGCGCATTTTAGGCGCCGCCTCTCCTCCTGAACCGATGTTGCACTCCCCTCCCAATCCACACGCGAAGCCCCCACCTCCTTACCCCGAGGACAATAACAGCTTCTTGGACCGTCTGTACGATTTCGATGGTTACCCCACCCCGTCTCCTTCATCTGACGAAGGATCAATTCCCACAGTGGCATTACAACCATCTTCCCCTTTCAACTCCTTTCAATACTCAAACCTTTACGTCAAAGAAGAGCCGAACAGATTGTCTGTACCTGAGTTTGCTTCACCCTACCCTTTATCACCTTCCGGATCCTGTGTTTCGTACGGCAGTCATAACCACCACTCGTCACCAGTGTCTCACCACGAGGAATATATAGACATTGAAGAGTTATTGAAAGAGAACCAAATTTTACAAGAAAGCGTACAACAAAGCTATATCACACCTAAAATTGAAGTTGAAGAGCCTAGGGACCATATTCTTTTGAGGTCTGCCTTAGAAGACACATCATTCCAGAAACGACTTAACCTTAGACCTATTCCTTTGGAATTGGGCAGTGTCAAGATGGAAGATAGCAGCGGCGGTGCGAATGGAACGGGTGATGACGCTTTAGTAGCTCCAGATATAGACCGCGTGCTGTCAATGGCAATTGAACAGTCAAAACGAGACGTAGACAATACCTGCACAGTGCTGGGAATATCGCCAGGTGAGTCACCGATGATATGTACTCGTGTGCAATTGTATTAATTTGGACATCGTTTCACACATCTGAATATCGGAATAACTGCATTTTATTGAGCCGATTGAGTTATTCGCACGCCAATAAGACAGGAATTACTATTTTTTTAATTTGTCTGTGTCTGTATCTCTGCCTGTCCGAGCTAATCTTTGAAATGACTGAACTAATCGTGATAAAACGTTACGAACAGATAGAAAGCAATGCCAGGCGGGATTTAGGCTATATTTTTCCAAATAAATTAATTCTTTTTGTTGAGAAAACGCTAAATTTATAAAGTAAATGGTGTCTGATTATCTTAAATCTTTCTCTTAAATAACTCCAAATTAATGGATATTATTTAGGCGAAGCCAAGGCGGGTTGCTAGTCATGAATATTATTATTATATTTGCATCTGGAAAGACACGCAGGATGTCGATGGATCCAGGCTACTTAGGACCGTGTTTTGTGGCAGTTCTTGGCGAAGGCCTTTATTCAACAGCGGATTATTGAAGAGCTGTAACAATGATAATGATAAAGATTGTATAATAATCAATGTAAGAACTAATGTATTGGATTGGCGTATTGTAAAGGTAATCATTAAATAACGTCATGTAAATACGCAAAAAATATTTCCGACGTGTTTGCTTGAGTACAAAGGTAGGTACATCATTTTAAAAACTCTTCTAAGAATGATTCTAACTATGTCTCATTCAAGTAGTTGATTACATAAGATTATTGGCATCTACCTATTAAGATCGTCTCTGGCGCCAAATGAAATGACGTATTAATTACTTAAGACTGTAGTTTATTTGTTGATTTTAAGTTTGTAAAATGAAGGTATAATATAAGTTGAAGGTAAAATATAAGTTAACAAACTTTACATTATCTCAAGAAATGATAAGCAAAATTTGGCAGACTTCAAAAAGGAGGGGTCTATAGTTTTTTGCATCATCATTACAGCCTTGATTTTAGTACTATTTTTCGTTCTGCGATTTCATTATTACTAAACCGATTATAATTTTTGTTCCATAAATTTCGAGAAAAAATTCCAATCTTAAGAGTGGAAAAATAAAGGATAAAGTTTATAATGTAACTATTTATACAACATTCTAATTGTTACCTAGAACTTATGATATTTGCTAGTTCACTAAAAGGGCCAAAAATATCTTTTAATGAAAAATAAAAGCCGGCTTCAAAGAACTAAAATAATAGTAAAATAATTAGCACATTACCTTTTGAATTTGGAACTTGAATTCTTCTTTTCAATATGTCTTATCATCGACTTTTAGTGGGCAGCTATTTAGTGGAATTTATTACTTTAAAAGCTATTACCCACGAGTTTTATTTGTTAGTATACTGTTTAGTGGTGGTGTAAGAATATCCACCTACCACATATCATCCCGTGGGTGTCGTATGAGGCGACAGAGAAAACAGGCAGGAGATGGGCACTGCGGCCCAATAACGTCTTCCTAATAACGATTAAGAATTTAAAAATGCTATGGCAAGAAACATAATTTAAAATTAAAAATTTTGTATAACCGACTTCAATATAAATTGTTAAAGATAACTTAAAAACGATTAGTCAGACCTTAATCAAATTTAAATGGGACCACATGAAAAGCACCAGCTTTCGTTAAAAAAAGAATCGTCGAAATCGGTTCACGTAGAAAAAAGTTATGAAATATCACACATAAAAAAGAAAAAATACACAGTCGAATTGAGTACCTTCTCTTTTGAAGTCGGTAAAAAAAGTAATAGCTGAAATTTACCAAATATTAAGAACCAATATAAAAATGCTTACATTATTTTTTATTTAGACCCATCGCAATGGAGCACCAGTGATGTGAAAGCCTGGGTTATGTTCACATTGCAACACTTCAATCTGCCTATGGTGCCTACTGAGTACTTCGCCATGGACGGAGCTGCCCTCGTCGCTCTCAGCGAAGAAGAACTCAATCAGATAGCACCACAAGTAAGTTAAACATATTTTTGATTTATTATACTTTTAAAAACAGTAGTAGCTCGGTGACGTTTTTTATAGAACACTGATGACAAACGAGCACACAGTCCACTTGATGGTAAGTGGATGTTTTGACCCATATACATTTACATTTATCTTCGATTAAGAATCAAAATGCAGATTCGTGCTTACCCCCAAAGACTAAGATGGTATGTCGCGTTAACAGTAAAAGGGGTCTCCGGTTCTCTGCACTCTGTTGAGTACAAAACAGAAGCATTAAGGTTTAACTCTGGTATTTTGTGAGGTCCTTCCCCGGTTAAGTTGACTCACTCTTTCTAGAACCATAATATGACTACAGCATGGCTTTACCGCGTATTCCGTTCAACATGCCATTGAACCAATAACTATGTCTAAGATGTTTTTGGCGAACCTATATATAAATATAACGGGTTCGTGTGTAATTTTATATTTTATTTAGCCAGATATAGTCCTTATGGCAGAATCCAAAGCACTATGCTTGATGACCTCAATAGTGTTTCTCAATGAATAGGTCTTAAGATGAATATGGACAAAACAAAGGTCATGTACAACATCCATGTCACGCCCATGCCGTTAGTTGATGGGATCAATACGCTCGAAGTTGTCGATGAGTATGTTTACCCGGGACAAATAGTCCGACTAGATAAGTCCAACTTCGACCGAGAGGTCAATTGAAGTGCTGCCAGTGATGACCTATGGAACTGAGATGTGGTCCTTCACTGTTGGCCTTACGAGAAAGTTCTAAGTCGCTCAGCGAGCTATGGTAAGGGCTATGCTCTAAGTGTCTCTGCGTGATAGAGTTAAAAACTAGGATATCAGCAGTAGAACCAAAGTCACCAATATAGCCCAACGGATTAGTAAGCTAAAGTGGCAATGGGCCGGCCATATAACTTGAAAAACCGACAACCGATGGAGAAGAAAGGTTCTCGAGTGGCAACCTCGTACCGGTTAGCGAAGAGTAGGGCTGCCTTCCACTATTGGTTAGACTTCCTGGATGTCTTACTAATGCCTGGTAAGACATGCAGGAAGTCGATAGATGTAGGTGGCTCAGGACCGTGCTTTATGGCATTCCTTGGGCGAGGCCTTTGTTAAACAGTGGACTTGTGAAGGGCAACATGTTTTCGCTGCTACAATACAGGAAAAATTTCTATAGATACTTTATCTTTTTATAAAAAGTGTGATAGTGTTTTGTTACTATAAAGAGTTACGAATAACTGTAAAGCACATATTGCATCACCACGTACTTTGCACCTTATACACGTTGACCAATGAATGGACACTCCTTTGATATCATCAATTGTTGTTTTTGTTTATATCTATGTAGTAAGTGTTAAAGAAATATAGTAATGTGGTAAACAATTAACTAATTATTGGTAGCATTAAAGTAATTATTAAATAGTCAATATAAACGATGAATTTATTGTTCTAATCGGCCGACCCTGAGGCCGATTGGGGGCAACCAATTTCGATACGCAGTTGACTCTTGCGTTGCTGATAAGAAGACACAAACATTGTTTATATGAATAATAACAACATAGAGAAATCAGTTACTACTTTGAACAATATTGTATTTTATTCAGAACTAAAAAGTGCAAAGTTCAATTGTTAGCAAAATAACGAATAACAAATATTTTAAATGTGAAAAACAAAAAAGGATATTGGAACAAAATTTGGCATCGTATTTGACACACAAATTTAGACGTTTGAGTAGACAAGTAGTCAGAGTATTTGGTAGTATGTACATAGGTCCTAGGTTTGATTCCGTCTGGATTTAACATTTTTATAATCACACCTTTGGTATTGCATTTTAATCTTCTTCCAATCACATCGCAATAACGCATTATAACTTATTTTATACTACATTATACATACAAAAATTTTAACAATTTCTACATTTGAAACCGATGAGAAGCTTTTCTTAGAATAAGTTAATCATACACGAGCACGTGGTAGAGCCATGCTGCAGCTGTATTAGTAGTATAGTTGTATCACGAATGGGTCGGCTCGACCGGGGAAGGACCACGCTCTCACAGAATACCAGCGTAAAATAGCAGCTCAATGCTGTTGTGTTTCGTATGGTGAGTGTAGAGAAACGGAGACCCTTTTTACTGGAAATGCGGCATCCCATCTTAGTGCTCACAGGTGACAACGCATCTGCATTTTGATTTGTAATAGAGGATAGATGTAGATGTCTATGGGCCGCAGCACCACTTATCTCAGGTGGACTTTGTGCTCGTTTGTCACCCTTATCCTATAAAAAAAAATAAAAACTAAATACACGAGCACACAGTTCTACATGATGGTAAGTGTATACTGCGATGTTGTCACCCTTAAACATCTACGTCTATCCTCGATTAAGAATTAAAATGTAGATGCGTTGAACCTTGCGGACTAAGATAGAATGCCACGTTACCAGTAAAAATGTTTCTGGTCTCTACACCCACCATACGTAACAGCAACATTAAGCTGCTATTTTACGCTGGTGTTGTGTAAGAGGCCGGGTTTTTTCCCGGTCGAGGCAACCTATTCGTGTATAATAGAACCACGCTGCAAGTAGGCTCTACCACAATACCTATTCTCCTGGTGTTGCAGTTGCTAATGGGCGGCGCGGCGGTAGTCATTTACTATCAGGTGAGCCGCGTGCTCATTTGCCCTCTTTTCTATACAAGAAATACGTTTAGTAAAGTTACGTATGACAAACGATTGATTTTCATATAAGTAGAAAAATAAAGGGATAGTATTTAGTTTATTTTAATATCATCTGGGTCTATAATATAAGTTGTCCTAAAATAAATTTTAAGACTTTGAGCCTAATTCCTAACAAATACGTCACTGGCCTCACTAACAAGTTTAGAGAATTGTTTTACAAACTTTTTGTACCCACGTTTTGCTTGCATCATTTGACCAACTTAACATGCTAATATTACAACACAAAAGATGAAACAAAAAGACAGTATGAGATACATTTAAATTATACAACGCAAAGGAAATACACAATGGAGAAAAAGTAAAAGTTTATATCATATAATGTATGATCTAAAAGCTACTTCAACGTACAAGTTATAATATAACAAGTTGATTAGATATTATTTATATTTATATTTATAATATAATATATTTTAAAATTAATTTAATCTTACATTGTATATTGTTTTGTTCTCTTTTCAAGTACGTTATATTGCTTAAATTTATCAATTCCATCGTTGTAAAAGCAATTCATTGGTCTCTCTTATCTCATTTTGTCTATATTATATATCATTGTTTGACCGCACGTAAAGGGAGCTCAATTAATGAAATATTTTTGGTCTTAAGTGTATTAGTCACACGCGCGATAATTGTGCAGCTAAGTTGCATCCATATCCATATTCTTCACGAACGTTACTCAACTATATATATATTATGGTTTCTTTTACTATATCCTTTATATTTAATAAAATACCAATTATATTTTTTCTGGCGTCTTGTATATTATGTATTAATTTATTTTACTTTGTCAATCTATGAATTCATCTATTATATTGTTATTATTCATAATAATTACCCGTTCAATATTTATTTATTAAATCTAACAACAATACTTAAAACGTCTATATTGTTACATTCGCGATATTTATATATATATTTAATAACTGCTCTGCATATTTATAAGCTCGCACCCTTTTATGTTGACTCGACTATATTAATCAAATCGTTTAAGGATTCATTCTGTTATATCTTATTGATAAATTTTATACTCTACCACCTTATACAAAAAATCAAGTCACTATTAACTAGCAACTGCCGAAGTGATATATCATTGTTCGTACTACTTAAGTCTAACGTAAACAAATTATTAGTTCTGTTACTCTGTGTAGCTTTAAAGTACTATAAATTTAACACAATTGGGTACATATTTGATTTTGATTAATGGCTGTAAATAATTTGTACTGTTATTATCAGAATGTTCGTGGTCTTAGGACTAAATGTCTTGAATTACGACTAAATATTTTGACGAACGATTACGACATTATAATTATGACAGAATCATGGCTACACAGTGGAATTTTTGATGGTGAATTGTGCGACGATAGGTATGACGTGTTCAGGGCTGACAGAGATTTGCGTAATAGTGGTAAAAGTACTGGTGGTGGAGTATTAATACTGACACGACGTACACTCGGTGCCATGTATCGTGACCTCGGCGAATGCGGTCTTACTGAGCTATTGTGGATCACTATTCCTTCAAGCGCATGCGCTTCAAATTCCAACTTACATATTTGTGTGGCATATATTGCCCCTGACCCTCATCAAATGCCATCGGATCTCGTTTTTATTAAACAAAAAATTAATAGTATTATCGAGCTTTCTCCAAATGATAATTTTGTAATATTAGGAGATTTCAACTTGCCGTTCATTTCTTGGAACCCAAACGGATATACAGCTTTGAAAAAAGGGCCTACTGAGGTACAAGAAGCGAGTATCCAGCTGATGGAAACACTAACATTTCACGGGTTAAGACAATTTAATACTTTAAAAAATCATGCTGGTAACACATTAGATCTTGCATTCTCTAATCTACCTCTGAATATCATCCCTGCGGCTGCGCCGCTACTCAGGGAGGACCACGCACATCCTTCTTTTTGCTTCATAGTTTTGGATTTAAACATTACTCCTCTACGGGAAACAGCTGCGCCGAGGCGAAATTTCAGGAGGGCTGATTATGAAAAAATTAATACATATCTTTTAGAACAGGACTGGAGGTCTCTTTTATGTACAGGCACTGTAGACGAAGCTACAAATACCTTTTATAACATACTGGATAGTTGTGTTCGTTTACATGTGCCTTTTAGTTATAACACAGGGAAGCGATCATATCCTAAATGGTACACACCTGCTTTAATAAAAATAATTAAGGAGAAAAACAATGCTCACACACGTTGGAAAAAATTCAGGAATAGATTAGATTACGATGAGTTTTCGTTACTCCGAGCAAG